GTTTGTCCTGTGATCTTGCTTTAAAAGAACTTGGAAAAATTCCCAAACAAAATACTTATATTGATCATATCAATTAGCTAGGTTTGAAGAAACCTGAATCGATCAAATCTATCATCAAGCCAATTTACAGCAATTGGTCCTCAAAATAAATTCAGTTATGAAAAACAGAGGAACGCAAATTGAAGCTACTATCGATTTATCCGCCAGCAAAAATTGAAAAAAAAAAAGAAAGAAAATCGGATAGCAGAGCAGAATTACCTTAGACGGCTTCATCGGCTCGGGAATCACAAACAGCGGCGCCGTGAAAATCAGTCCCGTCCACAGATCCTTCTCCGACTGGAAGTACATCAGCAGCGTCGCCAGCCCGCCCATCGACTCCCCGAGCAGGAACGCCGGCAGGTCCTTGTAATCGCCGCTAACCCTAACGCTCCTGAAAAAGTGCAGGGACGCCGCGGCTACCTTGATCAGATCCCCTACGTAGCACGGGATCCCGTCGGATCGGCCGTGTCCGAGCATGTCCGCGGCGAAGACGGCGTAACCCCAGCCGGCGTAGCTCAGGCAGATCTTCTGGAACATCCAGCCGGTGTCCGAGCCGTAGCCGTGGGTCATGTATACGGATCCTTTGACCGGCTGCGCCGTGTCCAGCGGGAGGAAGGACTGCGTGAATAGCTTGCCGTGAGGGGTTTCGAAGTAGGATTTCGCGTTGCGGACGCCATGGGAAGCGTAGTACTCGTCCTCCGGCGCGTCGCCCCAGAAGTTCGGCGGCGGAGGAGGCGGCGATTGCGGGGCGGAGGAGTCGATTTTCTCCGGCGGCATTTTAACTGCGGTTGGTCGGACATTTTGGGTTGGTGTGATTGGGGTAATTTATACGGTGTGTGGCGGCGGGGGAATGGTGTTTTTCACCAACTACCGCTAGCTGGGGGTAGGATGGGTAGGGAGTTGGTAAACCAACTTTTGGTGGGGTCCACCGTGAGTGGAAAAAAAACCGGTTTTTTGGTGTAGCGGACCGCGGTTCAAAATGTAGTGGTTCGATTTTATTAAATCGAGTAATTGACGTAAGGGTTGTGCTCAAATTAAATACGCAAACTCTTAATAAGAGACAGTCGTTGACTTGCTGATTAATTGGAAAGCCATTTTCATATAGTTTGTTTGTAACTACAATAATTTCAAGAATAATTAATACCTTCGTAAATATATGTGTCTTTTTGAACTAAACGTGATTATAATTATTAGTAAATTCATGTTTTGCCTAATATTATTATCTATCACAACTCCTTTAAATCATAGATTAATAATTTCCTTTTCTAATAATATTCTCTTTCTGTGCATGCTTAATACAGACGGGGCATTTGGCAAATCCATTGGCATGGGTAGTGCGGGAGGACTCCTTAGAAATGAAGTCGGTAAATGGATCGCGTCATGAACATAAGATTTTGTACTATCACAGGTGTCGAATTGTGGGGATTATTTCAAGGACTGCAGTTGGTTTGGGACTTAGGATATCGCCAGGTTATAGCAGAGGCGGACAACCTATGTGTGAAGAATATGGTTCTTGGTACTGATGAAGAATTAGGGGTACATACGTCGATAGTACGAGCCATCCGAAGCATGATTCAGAATAACTGGAGTGTGAGCCTCCACCATGTGCATAGAGAAACTAATTTTGCAGTGAATTATATGGCGAGTTTGGCGACTTCATCCTCGGTTGGTTTGCAGCGTGTATCAGATCCTCCTGGTGTGTTAGGGCAATGGTTGGATCACAATTTTATGGGGTATCTTACCCCCGGCGCACCCTAGCCTAACTAAAGTTCTAGGCCATTGGCCTCCTTCATTGTACCGAAAAAAAAATATAAACACTTAACATAAGATGAGAGAATCTACATGGAATAAAAATATATATATATATATATATATAAATTTTGATAGGGGTGCACAACATTTGGTTAACCGACTGAAACCGAAACCGAATTTTTAGTTCGGTTTTTAGTTTGTATTTTTTAAAAATTTCAATTTTCGGTTCTATTTGAATTTAAATGTTCGGTTAAACAAACCGAACCGAAAATCGATACTATAAGTTATAAAAGTCACATAGTACCCAAGCCCATTTTTTACTTTTTGGGCCCAATTTATTAAAAAGTATTGAAAAAAAAAAAAACACAAGGCGACCCAACCCAACCCTTTCATACATTACCAATTATTAGTACATAAACCTTTAGTTGTACGTATTTTTTCTCCTCATCAGCTCATCGTCTCCTGTACTTCTCCACCATCTCCATTCTCCACAAAGTCCAAACCAGAGATCGTAGCTCTAAACGAAACGTCAAAATATAGTTAATTCTAACATCATCTTCTCACTCCAATTCTCCAATTGCCACAGTCGGTGCTCTGAAGCCCCAAATCGCCGCCGCGCTTGTTGCTCAGAAACTCCAAATCGTACACTCCACTCAGCACTCGACGAAGCTTGTCTTTTCAAATAAGATTGCCACTCAAATCCCCTACTACGGGCTGCCTCGATTGAACCAATTCAAGCTCTCAAGGTAGAGATTAAATTTATTTCTTTCATCTTTTACCCTATTGAATATTTTATTATTATTATTTTTTTCTTAGTTCACTCAAATTTGAAATTAGAACTGAAATTTGTTGAGATTGTAACTAAGGATTTTTTTTATCGGACCAATAATCGAACCGATCCAACCGATAAATTTTCGGTTAAAAACCAAACGAATCATAAATATCGATTCGGTTTTCGGTTTGAAGGTTGGGCAAACCGAATTTTCGGGTAACCGAAATTTCGGTCGGTTCGGTTTTGACCGATTGAACAGCCCTAAATTTTGATATAACGTAATATCAATATATAGTTATTTTACATAATGTCATCTATGACATCAACATTGCTAGAAATTTTCAGCCCATTTACCTGCATTTAAATATTTGTTTTACGAGTCATCAATGTTTGAACCAAGTACTATTCATGATCATCATTCATACACTTACCATTGGATAAAATTAGAGAAAATTACTCTTTGAATGACATAATACCATATATGCGAAACTAATATTTTATTAGCAAAATTGAAAATCTAGCATACTTGGGATTTCTTAGTATTTTAGATTATTTTTTCAACATAATATACATCTTCATTTAACAATTTATTTATACTGGAAACAAAAATGTGATAATGTTGGACGAACAAGATTAGCACATGAAATTTATTTCAATGACTTCCATTTTAAATTGAAATCTCTTAAATCTTAGTTAATATTTTAGTAAATACATGATACATATTTTAGCATATAATATAATTTTTATATAAAATATTGTTGTACTATGTGTATTTTATTAATTATAGAATAATAACATTTAAATAATTGAATATGTGTAAAACAATATACATTTGTGAAATTAAAATAATTTAGAATAAAAAAGAAAAAGAAAATATTTTGTGACGTAAAATGTAGCGCGGACGGTTGGAGACGAAACTTAACTCTACTCAAGAGTATAGTAAATTCCGCACTAAAGTAGTGTAAATTTCACACTAGATGAAACTTAACTCTACTCTAAATTTTTTCTGAATTACATGCATTTGGTGTGCACAATTGACCAACTTCGAGGGGAAAAAAAAAATGAATCAAAATTGAGTGAGAACATTTTTATCAATGCTAAATAAAGTTTTAGTCTTATCATTTCCATGTGAAATTTTATCATCATCAATTGTAAGTGGGGGGCACAATTTACTGTTAGATTAATCACATGTTATCTAATTAAAGCAATTGGATTTGGAAAACAAAAATTAAAAAATTAAAGCAATTGGGTAATGATAATAGTTGTTAGCGAAAATTCAAAAACTCTAGCTTTTGGTTGGTCTGCTCATTTCTAAAACGTATATTTTTAACTCAAATGCGCAAAACGATGTAAGAACGTGGATAAACAATATAAATAGCGGAAGCAATAAATCGAAGATGTAAAAACTCTTCAGGGAAGCGTCCCACTTCCCCTCAGAGCTCTTTCATTGATAAATTGTTCACTCTTGTATAGTTTGGACTTACACGACTCGAACTCCCTTATAGTCTAGCCACAACTACACACGATCCTATCAATTACTTCTCCGACCACGTTCCGTGGACTTCTATCTCTCGAATCCCTCGAGCTAACCACTGTACTTAATCCCTAAGTACTGATCACAAAAGTGTTTGAATAAAATAAAAATAAAACAAACTAAACAGCTTCAGTTCTTGGATACGTAAGAACCCTTGAACTAAACTGTGAACAAAATAAAACTAAAAAGGCTTGAAGCTCGAATATTGAATGGAAGATAATTATTTCAGCAGCCTATCTTCGATCTTCAAGTAGGGTATATATACAACTCCTTAGGGTGGAGTCTTCTCTAAGTTCATCCTTTCCTTTTAGGAGTCAATTTCCTTCTCAATTGATTGCTTTCTGATTTGGACGATGATGTATAAATCGTGCATGTGATTTGGAGATCTTCATAATTGAGCATCAAATGGAATCTTGCGTTTCCAGAATCGGGTAAGAACATGACTTTCCAAAAATAGCCGATCTTCCAAATCTTCAAAGATCTTGTGGTGAATCTTTCCAAATCCTCCTTAGATCTTCTCATGAACGTCCAGAACTCTTCTTGTATGGAAAGTTCATCCTTTCATAGTCCTTGCCACCTATTCCTTGTCCTACAAGAAAAAGAGAACTAATTATGACATGTGGCATATATGGTAAGTAAATATATAAGATATATATTATGGAATCCTAATCCTTTAGGATTCCATAATATATACTACAATAAATATATACTATATATTATTAATAATAAATATTAGGAACTTAATTAAATCACAAGTAAATAAATAAATAGAAAAACTTTCCTTTAATGTATTTTGCTTGCTTAACAAAAAATATTCTAGAAAACACTTAGGTTTGTCGGACATTATGGCAAACCAATGTTCTTACAATTTCAGTACATAAGAATAAGATTGACTCGATTAAATGGGTATCCATCATAATTTTATTTTTTTAAATAAGAATGCATGTTTATGCTATGAAGTATCATATTTTTATTTATATTGTTTATTAAAATATGACATTAGTTTATAAGCATACATGTTATTAATAAAATATATGTTTGTCTAATTATTAGTTATGTCTAGTACCAAAAAATTTTATGGAGCCATCGGATAGTTTTCTTATAAGTCATCGATCACTTAATCTATTGACACATGTTCAAAGTATATTTATTGTAGGACACGTTGTCAATACACTATTTGTGAATAACCGTGGATGACTTCATAAATCGAATTATCCAATGACTCTATAGCAAAACTGCATACATACAGCTTCATCCAACTCATAGTTCTACCTAACAACATCACTGTTTTGTAAACTTGCAAAAACAAGGTTTACCACAAGCCAAAACCATTTACTCTAAATTTTTCACTTGCTATATCAACTAGGCCAAGTCTCATTTTATTGGTAATGAAAATAGATTTTTTTTACAAAATGTTTAGAATCTTATGCATTACTAGTGTTAAAGTCATGCGATGAGAATATGGTTCAATAACAATTATTTTTAGTAAGTTATTAATTAATTGAAAAATAAAAAAGATAATTTATTTCTATATCACTAAAAATTTCATTATAAATAGATTGATGGTATGACCGGTCACATTGATATTCACAAACTATTATATTTAAACTAAGATCACTACTTAGGCGTCTGATGGTACAAAATATAGCTTTCCATTTATTGAAAAATAATAGGCCGATGTGTGTTGCTAATAGAACTTGACTATTTTTTATATTCATC